CATGAATCTTTGTTTTTCTTCATTCTTCTTTGCTCTGGATGAGGAGAAACCCATCATTGCATCTAGATGGCTGCTCTCACGCTTTTAAGATCCCAGTAGCTACTTGCCAAAGTAGGAGGTGGAACAATGTTTTGTGTAGTGTGTTATGCCAACTGTACTTGCTTGGATTCTTGATCTGTACTGCCTATCTGAGACTTATGACCAGGCCTGGTTTAAACCCACATGACTTCCCACCACAGTAAGCCCACTTGTTTCACAAGTAGCTAACACATTCACTTTATGACTTGCCTACCATGGGAGTTGATCCCAAAATGGGCAAAAATAAGCAGCCTATCACCCAGCCCATCTCTTATTAAAATATGTAGCCTTGTCCCCATATATTCAAGAATAGTATTATTTCCATAAATGAACAGAACTGAGATTTCGTATCTTTCACCTTCATGCCTGTGTTCTATGCATCAAAGGAAAACTAAGCTTTGGTGTTCTTACCTTATCTCCTTTTGGTCCATATGGTCCCAGGGAGCCTGGGGAGCCCCTTTCTCCTTTCAACCCTGATAAACCAATAGGGCCAGCCATTCCTTGAGGACCTGTTGGGCCTTGAATTCCGATTGGTCCAGGTCGCCCCTGAAATGGACAGAAGGAGTGCAGTTAGTCAATAGTGAACGTCAAGTCAACATTTCCCATTTTCCCATGCACAAAGAACACTGTCATCACCTCACTAAATAATTTTGGCTTAGAGATCTCTGAGGCATGCCAAAGTTCCAGACATGGATCAGAAAAGGCTATTTTAGGGTCTGCTAAGCTTATTTGGAGAGAATACATTTTATAAGCACATTTAATAAGATTCATGTGCACCAAGATCCTTCAACTTTGTACTTCTTAGGAGATTAGTTATTCAGACTGGATGATGTTGTCCTCTTCCTAGTTAATGCCAGGCCATCCATCAGATTGTCAAAATACTGAATGAACAGAATGCTGGAGAGCATCATGACATTTTATAACTTGTGTCCAAATGGCCAACCATATGCTTGCAGCGAAGCTCAGAAAAGGCTGTTCTGAAAGAACATTGCCCCAGGGACCCAGAGAGGGGAGAACCCAGAAACCCATGAGCTGACTCTTTGGTGGACCATCACAGCACCTGGAAACAGACATTCATAGGCCACACACACACACACACATACACACACAGAGTTTATTTGCACTCCTCTATCCTTCTCTCTTTCCCCTTCCCCCACCTTTCCCACATCTGCACATTTTGAATGTGTAAAATACAAAGAGCCTGAGAATATCCCTTAAGTATCAATTATGATAGCAAGAGGGAGCAGCCTAAAATTTTGAATGCCCTGGTTGTAACGTGTCAGGTAACAATTAAGTCTGAGAGTTCAGGCTGACATTTTAAAGCCGACTGAGACAATGAATTAACGTGCAACAGAGGCAGACTAGTCTATCATTTAGAACAAATCCCTGTAGGGACTGAATTTTTCTTGGCAGAAAAATGAAAACCATTAGTAATGTGCATTACCTCTCAGAGGCCACAGCACTATCTCAGGTAGAAAGCCTGTTTTCATAAATGCTTCCCATCTCCATGTCTTGGCCCCTTTCCTGATTGTCCCTAATCTCCTACAGATCTGTGAAAAACTGAAGAAAGTCCATTAAACATGCCTTTAATATTCATTCACCTTCAAAGTTTACTTTTTGAAGGCTGAAAGCAAGACAGACACTTTATGTGGTGTAGCTAGTCACATACTGCAGATGCAAGTGTCTACCAGCTGTCCCAGTCTTTTGGAGTCAAATGTCAGTCAGGCCCACGAAGACCTAAAATTCTTGCAAAGACATTAAGAGAGGCTCTGCCCAAGGAGATGTAATTCTCTGGGGCAGCACCCACAGCTCAACCTTCCCCAACACCTGACCTGTAGTCTACAGACTGCAGGGCAAACAGTTTAACAGGGCTTACTTCTGGGAAGTAGGAATGATGGGAGAAGGGAGTGAGTTTCACTTTGACGCTATTTCTGCCCATTTTTTTTTTAAATGCTTCTATTATTATTCTTGTACTTTTGACAAAATCAATCTATAGAAAGAAATGAATGAAAAAGAGAAAGAATAAGACTTTTAAATAATTCTAGGGTGCTCCGTACAGGGTTAGTGAAGACATCTAAACTTTGGGCCTAGCTTTCAAAATGAATGTACACAAAATGACAGCAAACATTACAACCCTGGAACAGATGGCTAAGTGCTGCAGAACCACAAAGGAAGGGTTGGCCATGGAGGGCTTGTGGAATGCTTACTTTTTGTCCATGGCTGGGGGTAGTGGTAGGGGATACAGGAGTCATGGGCTCAACTAGAGAGGCTGAGTGGGCCCCAAGTGAAGTGGGCCTGTAAAGCAACACAGAAAAATTGAAGACTTGATGTGGTAGGAAATAGGGAACTGGGAGAGGGTTGGGAACATGGGAGCAACGTGGGAAAAGCACAGTTTCAGGGCTGAAACTCATCAACAAGCATATGAGAGAACATGTGCTTGTTAGCACCAGGCCAAGGCAGCCTGCCTCAGGCTGCAACAAGGGAGACAGATAAGAACCAGCTGTTGGGGAGGAGGGGACTGCTTGGTGGGAGGACAGAGGGGCAGGGAAAGGTTGTCGAGGCCATGTTACTACTGGAAGAGAGGATCCAGTCAGGGCACTGAATGTTTGACCCAAATCTGAGCCCCACCAAAAGCTTTCCCCCATTAAGGAAGAGGGATGGAGAGAGAACATAAACCATTTCACAGCTACTGAGAGAATGAATTGTGGGGTGGCCCAATTTCCATCCTGTTCACAACATGAGAGAAGTCTGAGCAGTGCCCAGGGTGGGAACAGGGCCTGGAATATGCCAGCTCTGGTCCCTTGCTTTTGAGATTGCATACTAAGAAAGGGTAAGCAAGGATACTTAGGACTGAGACAATTCTAGGGCTGGACTTAACAGGAAGCCTGATTACACCCAGAAAAGGCAGCTTCCACCAACTGCTTCCATTCTCTTGGCTGGTGTGGGTGGGTGGGGTGGCCATGATGAATTTGCCACAGTCACACAGCAGACTCTTCTGTTCTGGCCACAGAGCTGGAAGTGAGTCTCTTGAGAACTTATGGATTTTTTTTTAATTCCACCTTTTTTTCCCCCAAAAGGGGCACTAGAGAACGTGATTGCTCCTTGGAGGAACATGTTCTTCTTGCCTGGTCCCAGGTGTTTGGGTTGGTGGGCATGTCAGTAGTCTGGCTAGAAACCTTTGGGACAGACCTAATGGGCAGAAGCAGGGCCTGTGGGATATCTCGAGACCTCTGAGGCACTGCTGGCCCGGAACTGCCTCATCAGCATGGTTCCAGGCCCTTCTGGATCCCACAGTCAAAGGATATGAGAGAAGGATATGAAGTCTTTTCATATAGCAGCACAAAGCACCACAAACCTATGAAGATAGCACAGGAAAAAAATGAGACCCATTTTTTGTTCTGTGTGGGTTGTTTTGTCAGCCATCTCTAGATCTGCTTCCTCTGTGCTTATACGTGTGTGATCTTTTTTCCCTTGTGTCCATGCATAGGGTTTCTGTCTCAGTGCCCAACATACTACTGAAGCGTAATATTAAATCAATGATGACCTGCTTTTTTTTTCCTTCAAAGACACTATTGGCAACACTTCTCATAATGGCCAGCAGAGGTCAGTGCGACAACATAGAGGCTACAGATAAGCAGGTGGATGGGTGGACCTCTCCCACCACAGAGAAAAAGAAATCACATCAGTGTCACAGAAGTCACAGAATATGTGAGCAGGAAGGGCTCCTAGAGATCATCCCATCCAGGCTTTATTTTATGCCTGGGAGGCAAAAAGAGGGGAAAAGAATTGGTTAGGTCACACTGCTAGTGGAGAATGGTGTGGGACTCAAACCAGGCAGCTGCTTCCAGCACCTTGTTTCCCTGTTTGCCAGTGGCAGATGTCCTAGGGGGTCCTCAAGGCAGCCCCCCTTTCCAGGTCTGCCCCTGGGACTACCCCTATCAGCAGGCTGCAGTAGCCAGATGCTCACACATCATTTCTCTCTTCCTAACCCTGATCATTTCAAAGAACCAATCTGAAACACTATCACTGTTTGGACTGCTAGCAGAATTTCAATGGGCTTGGACCAATGCCTGCCCTGATATATGTCATTTATTTTGGCAAACAGACCCAGACAAGGCAGAAGGGACTCCTCCAAGTCTTTCCAACAAGCTATCCTGCCTCCATCTGCTCTGGATTTTAAACACGCACATCAGGGTCTGATTCTCAAGAGAATGAGCTGGGACTTGTGCCTAAGGCCAAGAACGGCAGGTTCGCAATTGTGGCACAGACTGGCTACCTCCTGTTGACCAGAGTGGGTTGTGGTCAGTGTGTAGTTTAAGGTCATCTTTGATCGGTCCACACCCACAACCCCAGCCCCAGATGAATGAGGTAGGAATGGTCTGTATATAAAGTACTATCCGTAGGTATCAATGGCATCTGAGAATCTTAAAAGCATAGACATCAGACTAGGTTGTTGTTGTTGTTGTTGTTATGTGCCGTCGAGTCGGCCCCGACTCATAGCGACCCCTCCTTGGGTTTTCGAGGCAGTATCACTACGGAAGTAGGATTGCCCAACCTTCCTTCCGAGGAGTGGCTGGTGGGTTTGAACCGCCAGCCTTCTGGTTATCAGTCAAGTGCCTTAGCCACTATGCTACCAGAGGTCCTTCAGACTAGGTTGTTGTTGTTGTTGTTGTTATGTGCCATTGAGTCAGACCCGACTCATAACGACCCCTCCTTGGGTTTCCGAGGCAGTATCACTACGGAAGTAGATTGCCCCATCTTCCTTCCGAGGAGTGGCTGGTGGGTTTGAACCGCCAGCCTTCTGGTTATCAGTCAAGTGCCTTAGCCACTATGCTACCAGAGGTAGGAATGTGAAATCGGTGGAATGGCTGACTTTTCATTACTGGGCCCCTTTCTGCCTTAAAAAAAAACCCTCCTCAAGGTTCCAGTGTCCTTCTTCCATATAATTCAAATTAATTTGTTCCTAAGGAAGAATCTGAAACTCATTCTCACTGAGGCATAAATGACTAACAACAGCTTAGAGTGTTACTTCTCTCAAGGGCAACTGTATTTTAACGGAGAGCAAAGCTGTAAGCTAAGGGATGACATGATATTTATGAAGCAAGGAAAGGAGAGGGTATGCACAGGGCCTTCCTAAGGATCCAGCTATATTCCAGGAGTTGGGTGCAGTGCTCTTAGGTGGTATCATGGTGAAGACTCTGGAGTCAGACCAAGCTGGAGCCAAATGCTGTCACTGCCTTTTAACAGCTATGAGACATTGGGCAAGTGTCTTAATCACCAGGGGTTCAGTGGGGATAAGAGTGGTTCTTGTATAGGATTACTGTGAACATTTAAGTGAGTTAATGAATGTAAAACACCTGGCAGATAACACTAAAGCCAGAAACTAAGGAGTCCTCCATGCCCCCCCCCCTTTATCTACCACATATAATCCCTCAGCAAGGACTGTCAATTCTGCCTCCAAATATATCTCCAACCTCTCTTCTTTTCTCTATACTGTTATTAGAGCTTAAATTCTAAAGCACTTGGGATTGTGGAAGGCTGTGGTCCACAGTGGTAGCCCTGACTCCATTTTGAGGCTCGATATAAGTTTCAGATGCTCTTTGGATTCTTTCTGGCCATAAACCAACACTGTGGCTGTGCCCAGACAAGTTCCAGGACAAACCTAGGGAGGGGCAGTTTACCTTCAAGAAGAGTGTGGTTGAAAGTATGGTCACACAAAGAACTAGGGAACTTGCCTGAGTGTCTTTTTCTTATTTAAATTAAAGTTGGGGTCTTGGTACTGTTTGATAGCCACCTTGTGGCTGCATGGTCTTGCGTCACAGCCTATCTGACCACCACCTAGCCAGGTGGTCAATGCCCGAAAGCAAACCTGTAACCCTTTCTATCTTCAATTATGTATGTATGTTTCCCAATCATGGTCTTTTCCCCACTTCTGTAGTCCCACCTGCAGTAGTGATGAATCTATTTACCACCAATCATGATTTTGTGATGATTCCCTTTTTTCAAAACACAAACAAAAACATATATAATTAGCCACATGGCCATGACTCAGCAGACTGCATTCAGCTTTCTCATGCTGATAGTTTCCCTCATCCAGGATGACTGTCTTTGTTTTGTCTTTGTTCTGTCCAAGGCTTAATAAAAGTATCTCTATTGAACCTATTTGAATCTGGGGTCTCTTTTCCCCTAATATAATACCCATGGCCTTAGTTCAGGTCTTCCTCACTTCTCCCCTAGAATGTAACCACAGCTTCCTAATTGCTCTGCCATCCTCAGATCTGGCTTTTCACTCTCGGGTCCCACTCAATGGCACATAACAACAACAGCAGCATCCTATCCCAGGGCCTTTGAACATACTATTCCCACTTTACTCCCCTAATCCCTGTTCATCCTCTAGTCCCCAATCAAGATATCAGCTTCTCCAGGGAGACTTCTGTGATTACCATTACTCCACAGTGTGGGCTAGGGTGCCTGTTAACCTACCCATATCCTACAGCAGACTGAGATCCTTGAGGACAGAACCTGTGCTTTACTCCCCACTGATCATCTGTGCTAAGTATAGTGCCTGGTATACAGTGGGAACTCAGTAATTGTTTGATGAGTGAATGGAGCAATGGAAGAATGAATGAATGTGCACACCAACAGTCAGGGGCACAGGTACAGTGATACCTTCTTTGGAAGTAGAGAATGTTGCACCAGAGTGCAATCAAGAACCATCTGATCACAGGACCACAGACGAGAGTTGCACAAGACATTGGAAATCATCCACTTCACAGTGGGGAAACTGAAGCCCAGAAAGGGAAAGAGCCATATCCAAGTTCATACAATATCAACTGCAGACGTTTTAAAACATGATACCCTGATGCTTTTCAGAGCACTTAAATACAGAAATGGCCATTTGATATAGTTCCTTGGCATTTTCTGTTCCCTGAGATCTGAATGAAAGTGCTTTTGTTGCTATTCCTGAAGGAATTTTTTTTAAAATTTTTATTGTGATTTGAGTGAAAGTTTACAGAGCAAATTCATTTTCCAAACAGCAGTTCATACACATTTTGTCTCATGACATTGACTGCAATTTCCCACAATGGAACAGCTCTCTTCCCACTTCTTCCCCATAGTTATCTCTTCTCTGTGTCTTGCACTTCCTGAAGGAATCTTACCCCACACCTCACCTAACCAAGAATGCCTGGATGCAGCCCTGTGAAGAAGACCAGCTGACAATGCTCTTCCCGACCTCACCTCTGCCTACTCT